CTGCATTCGCAGAGCTCAGGCTGTGTTGTATTTCAGTATCAATGTTGACTTTTTCTCTGAAACCAATGCCAGGTTGACTTCATGGCTGGCCCTACCATTAAGTAGTGTCAAAGCTGCTTAGGGGTACCAAGCATTGTGGTTTCAAGAAATGACAGAGAATTTTTTTCTTTTTAATTTATTATAATTTTAATTTTGCTATCAGGGAAGAGGATATGTGTGTGTGGTGTGTTTCTACCTCAGGTGTCGAAATAACTTGGTTTGCTTAGGAAGTCTGGATCATTCTTGTAGGGAGAAGGTCTCCCATTTCCTGTTCCATTTCAGGCATTCACAGAGAATGTATCTGATGTGAGGAGCTTCTTCCATCACTACAATAATACATAGTGCCACCAGGGCTGGGCTTTGGGAAATAGGGCACCATTTCCCACTCATCCACAATCAGTGATATGTTTTGGTTGACGCTGGCTGACATACCATAAAAGAGAACATATCTGTTAAAAAATAATAGTGATGTCAATGGAATAGAATGTTTGGTGTTTCATTTCACAAGGAAAACATCCACTTTTTGCTGTAGCTTTTAAAATATTTTTTTTAATGAAGGATAACACATTTTTACTAGATTTGCTCATTAACACAACAACCCTCAAATTCTATCATTTCAGTAAATAAACCATAACAACGTGTTAGGAAGAGATACTAGAAAACAAGTCTTTATCGTCTAATCCGCCTGTTCTGTTTATTCACACAGTGCATTCTAAAGTGGCATCAGAAATAATTGGCAGTGTATTAAATAGCAGTAGCATTCAAAAGGCGACATGAGAAAAGTCATTCCTATTTGTTATACAGCAGTGTGGATATACAAAATCATGTCTCTACCTTGGGATTCCTCTTCAAATATAAATGAGACTTCCTGGAAACAAATCACATTCATTCCCGCATTTTCCTTTACATTAATACAACAACTCCCAAATTTTATCATTAAACATTATATTCATTGAGTTTTCTTACCATTTAATTTTTTAAAAAATCATCTTTATTGCATAAATTTTCAGATAATTATACATTAAAAATTTGGAAATAGTGGGGGAGGGATCTGACTGAAATGGGAGTGAGGGAAAGAGAAATAAAAGGCGAAAATAAAACCAAAAGAAAATACCAACACAGTGGCGGGGGGGCACTGGGGAGGAAGCGAAAGGGGAATGGTACCGCATTGAGTCGCCGATGTAGGCTGAAAAATGCGGTATAGAAATAAAGCAAATAATAATAATAATAATAATAATAATAATAATAATAATAATAATAATGGTAGCATAGGGACAATTGTCTTCTGGTCAATTCAACAGGGAGTTTTCATTTTCTTCTTAAAGCTTTCCTAGTTCACACTAAGATTAAACTATTCTATCTGTACAGTTAGTCTTTTTTCCTGGAGAAATTCTTTATATGCTGTCCAGTCGGTTTGGCGCCTGTCTTTCTGAAAGGTTAAGGAGTCCATATCCATATAATTCATTATTTTAGTAGTCCAGGTGTCTACTGTCGGGATTTCTTTCATGCGCCATTTTTAGGCTAATAGGGTTCTTGCTTCTAAGGTCAGATAATAAAATATTTTATCCCCATTTATCCCTATCTTAAAGTCTGTTATATTTACCATTTAATTTCAACCATGTAAAGTGGCATTGAAAAAGGGTATCATAGGGTGTCTGTATAAAAAAATCTGGAGTCACTTAGCTTATTTAAGAAAAGCAGTTCTAAGTGGAGTGGCATTCAGCACCTACCAGCTAAGAGTAAGACATTGTGCTTTATTCTTGACTAGATGCTTTATAGACATTGCTGTGCCCAAAGCCCCACATGCATGAATGCACACTACTTTGCACATAAGTGCAATGTATTTAAGATGCTAAATTTGTACTTGCCTGTACAGAGGTTATAAGCAGTAGATCAGCTACTTAGTTAAGTACAGTTGGCCCACCACATTTATGGGTTTGACTTCTGTAGATATGATTGTTAGTAGGATTAATTTTTTTTCTCTAGCTGCGCCAACACAACTCTGTAGTCAGCTTTTGACCAAAGTTGACTATAGAGTTACCATCCAAGCATTTTCATCTCTAGTGGTCCCTGGTGTCCGCTGGGGTTTGGTTCCAAGATATGGTTGGACTGCAGCTCTCATCAGACATTGATGGAGATTGATGGGAATTTCAATCTTCCAACGACTAATAAGGTTTATGTCCTCTATCAATATATATCTGGTAAAATGCACCCTAATTTGCAAAACCTTGTTATTGTGTGCCTTTAAGTCATTTCTGACATATGGCATCCCTAAAGAAAAACAATCACAAGGTTTTCTTGGAAAGATTTGTTCAGAACAGATTTGCCTTTGCCTTCCTTGGAAGCTGAGAGCATTTGCCTTGGTTAAAATTGCAAAGTGGGTTTCCATTGGAACCCTGCTCTTAACCACTACACCAAACTGCCTCTACATTATCCTACACTAAATAAATTCATACTGAAATTGCCATAGGACTCATTATTTTTTGCTACCATCGGTCTGACATGGAAACAATAAATAACCATCAGCGTAAAAAAGCATGATAAACAATTCTTAATAATATTTACTGAATAAATCAAGTGTATTTCTGTGTTGCGTGCCATCAGCTTCATATGTTACTTGGTACTGCATGAGAGATGGTTTTCTTAGATCAACATTTATTTTATCAGGCAGAAGAAACAGTCAAATAAGCTATTTTGTTGGTATTTATTCAATTAAGTAGGGGAGTTTGTTCATTCCCTTGTTCCTCCAAAAACCTGATCAGTGACATTCAAATTTGAGCCGTTTAGCCATCACTGTGAATATTAAGGTCAGTCACTCTGTATCATTTCACACTGGGATAAGCATTTAGCCACTGACAGAGTGAGGGATCTTCATGAGACAATTTTTGTAAACCAGACCTTCCATCCAGTTTTGAAATGTAGTCTACATTAACTATATAGGGGCACAAGATGCCAAAAACTTCTTTTTGTCATAAAAGCTAGCAAGGGTTGTGTACAATTGCTCCTGAGTATCGTGGTTATTTCTGGGCCTGATAATGTGTCTTATACAGAAGGAAGTTACAATAGGTATTAAGGACATGAGAAGAGCTATTTCGGGTCAAACCAAAAGTCTATCTAGAGCAGCATTCTGTTCCCATAGTGGCCAACCAGTTGCTTATGGAAAACCCAAAAGCATGAGAGGAGTAAAACTGCAACTTTTATCTTGTGGTCACAAGGAACAGATACCCAGAATCATGTTGTCTTTGCTATTAAGGAGAATACATAGCAATCATAACTAGTAGTTATTTCTAGCCTTCGCTGTGGACTTTACTAATTTAGCTCAGACTTTTTGGGTAGCAACAGCCAATGTGGAACCTTTAATGTTATATTTTTGGAATAATCTGCTAACAAGTCACAGGTAAGTACTGACTGTTGCCATGCTGCCCTTTCTTCCAAAAGGGCTCCCAGAAGATTGTTTTGAGGGTCATTATACAAAGGGCAATGCAACAGATAGTGTGTTAGATCTTCTCTTTACCCGGACCCACAAATACAAAGTCATTGGGAATAAGAGATCCCTCTATATCTTCCCTCTAGCCAGCCTGATGACATTGTTTGAAAGCACAGGGATGTAAATGCTCTTCCAAGGGCTACAGATGTTAAGCCTTGAAGATATTGTTCACAATATTGGTCGCTCTTACATTGAGGATACCAAGTGGTGAAACCCTGATGTTTACTAGTCTGCAAGTTGTCAATTGTATCCATCTCAAAGAGTTTGTCACTAGAAATGGAAATGGGATGATACAAATCAGACATTTGTTATTGTTATCATGTCACTGCTACAATATTTTTAAAGAGCTAGTATATGGAATAAGTTTTAATATTTATATTGGGAAGTGTTTATTGTATTTATTATTATTCATTATTATTTATTTACTGCATTTCTATACTGCTTTTCTCACCCCTAGGGGGACTCAAAGCGGTGGACAGTATAATTGGCAAAAATTCAATGCCTCACATACTAATAAAAACAATACATTACATATTGAAAACAATAACATATAACTGTAAATTAAAATCATTAAAATTGTCAGACATGATTGTTTTCCAGTTTGTGTAGTTTTCAATTACCGATCTTGTAGACAGTGCAATTATAACGAAAGTTTGTGATGAGGACCAGAGCCACCAAGGCTGTCGAAAACAATCAGTAAAGAGTTGATGGAAAAGCTTCAGTTTAGCTAATCCAGGTAAGTAGTCCTCACACATCAACAGATGTTACAGGTGCCGGGCAGCAAGGAGGCAAGGCAGTGGGGGCCATGGGGGCTCCCTGCTCGGATGTAGCTGCTGCCGGGTATTGGGGCATCTTGGGCCCTTAAAGGAGCCAGGCAGTGGGGAGCATGGGGGCTCCCTGCACAGATGTTGCTGGTGCTGGGTGGCTTCCTGCTCAGATGTAGCTGCTCTTATTGTACTTATTGTATTGGACTTTTAAAGGTTGTATATTATGTAATGTCATGGCCTATGGCTGGTACAATAAGCAAATCATCTAGTAGTTACTGATAGCTTGCAATGATTTACCAGCAAGTGAAGGCATTTTGGGTTTCAGATTTCTAGGTAGGTGATACTTGATCTGTACTTTTCCCCCTATAACATGCAGAATAACTTTTGATCATTAGTACAGTATCTCTCATAGTTAATACAGCAGACAGATGCCAACATTGTCACCAAAATTTGCAAAAATTGACTCTACTAAAGGCTATAAAAGATAACCGTGATTTTCTAACTTGCCCTTTGATTCTTTCTTCCCATGAATGAGGAGAATAATAGATATAGTGTCATCCAATGAGTATGCACTTAACACACTAACCACATTGCTCCATTTCAGGATAGTGCTGGGTTTTCCATTAAGAGATGCTGTCTTTTGTTCTTAGCTGAAGCTGAGAGCATTTCTTTCAAAAAACACTAATGTTCTTCTTTCAATATTGCAGAGTACAGACTCGAATTCCAACGTGAGGAAAAGAATCAATGCCACGCTACAACCGGAATCTGAGAGTGTGAAGAAAATTGACACCAGAAACAGTTCAGTGCCACCTTCTACAGTAACTCAGGGGCTTTCAGACATTACGCCCCGATCTCCTTCGGCATCCAGCCCAAACCCATTCAGCCGTTTAAGCCTATCAGAAACATTGGCTTCAGCGAGAGCGACTCCTTCCGCACCTCCCTCTACTCCCGTTTTAACAGGATACGTAGCCCAACAAGCCACGTCTGGTTCTCCCTCCATTCACCATTTACTTGGATCTAGACTGGAGCAGATTCAAACTACAGCTAATACTTTGGGAACTGCGGCAAAGCCTTCTGCTGTTAGTCCTCCTCCTGCTCCACTCCCATTAAGCTCTGGCACCAGTAAGATAGACAAATATGCACGCATTTTGTTTCCTGTCACTTTTGGAGCATTTAACATGGTCTACTGGGTGGTGTATCTATCCAAGGACACCATGGAGAAATCAAAAAGTCTAATGTAGTCTTGCTGCTATGTAGTAGTTTTTTCTGCAGTTTATTCTAAACATGTTTGGATGCAGAGTTTCTTCTTTTAAAACTATTTTTTAAAAAAGAAACCTTTAAGGATTATTTTTTAAAACAAGGTCTGTGCTCGTTTTCCCATGGTAAAGGGCAGATATTATTAGATAAAATAATTAAGCAAAGGGGGGGGGGAGGAGAGGGAAGGCTACAACCAACCTCTTTGGGCCTTCCCAAAATGGTGTTATATTAAATAAAAACACTCTGTGTTATTGGGAAGAATAGGGATGGGATGCAAATAAACTGCAGTGGCATATAGATGTGCAACACACAACCTGGCTTTTCCAGATGAGCACACGGATATGTGGAAATCTCCCTTTCTGCTGCCTGTTTCAGCATTGTTATGCTTCAATATAAGCACAGTGGCAGTTCAGTGGAAATAACTTAAGTCTTGTTGGTAAACGACTTTAAAAACAGATAAAAAAAGAAAAACAGATTGGCAATGCAATCCTATACATGTCTACTCAAAAGTAGCTCCCCTGGAGTTCACACTTCAGGGATTGCTTCAAGGTAAGTGAATACAGGATTGTCGCCGTGGGGACAGGGTGAGGGAGGAATGTACTATCTGATAGGAAGCCTTAGAAAAAAGATTGTTCTCAAGGAATGTGTAAGTTTGAATTGTGTGATGAGAATCATGTAAAGAGAAATTGTAAAGGAATGTGATTGTTCTGCCTTTCTAGGCTCTGCGAAGAATGAGTGGTTCTTAAGAAATGTTTACATCACTTGGACAGACTCCTTTTTCTTGTATATTTGGGATTCAACCTACCCAAAACGAATCTCTCCAGATCTATCCCATTCATATAAGTGGGACAGAAAAGCACTTCACTTAGGCTGGATTTATTGTCTGTCTGACCAGATCTCCTTTTATTGAAACCAACCTGCTAGGAATATCATCCTGAATTTCATGTATGCATTCTGTAAACCTTTTTAAAATGGTTATCCATATGTTTTTGCCATGTTCATTTCAAGGTTGATAAATATTACCCTTTAACTATGACATTATAATCAATAAGTGCCAAAACAATGGGTTTTTATTTTGCTTCTTTGCCATACATATAGTTTGCATAACATGACCATTCCAATTCATTCATCTTGGCTGGAGTATATAACAAATTGAAACAGGATTGGGCTGATATTTCTGATTAGAACAGAATTAGCCATAAGAGTTTAGTGCCCATTCATATAATAATACTACAGTGTCGTTGGAATTCCTTCCTGTGGTCTTTGGTAATATTATAGTAATACATAATGAGAAACCATATATTTTCCGTGGCACCATGTGTGCATGGCACCAGATCACAGCAAATTGGCTCCCATACAATATATTTTACAACTAATAAAATCCGCATTTTGGGGAGTTCAATTTTAATGTGTTTTAATATAGTCAATAATAGATAGGAAATTTTGTTGGACAACTATTATAGGACTACTGTAGTTTGAAACCTGTGTTTTCCATGATTTCCATTTTTGAAAAGGAAATGAATAACAACACTGTCAGGTTTTGTTTCCAGTTGTCATTTGAATTAACATAAGATATTTCTTGGTTAGGAATTCGACAAACTACCTGTGCAGTTTTTCAGAATAGTTTCTCTTAGTATTCAAGCCATGGCAACTGTAATGGCTAGTAGTTTCAGGAGCATGGTTTCAAAAAGATAGGCAGGTGTCATGGAGTTTAAAAAAGGGGCAACACTATGGACTGACATGCCTCCTCAGAATTTCCAAGCTTTTGATATGGATTGCATTAGAGATTCTCCACCTTAAAGAAAATCAAATCTCTATCACATCGATCTTTTATTTGGCCACATTATAATATTATTATTATACTTACGTATATTCACCTTTTCTCAGGAACTGATACCCTAAAGTGGTTCATAACCTTAAAAAACTATATAGTTTAAAAATCTACAAAACATAAATATTAAAACAGAATTATATATTATCATCATTAAAATATCTCTGTGTAGGGAAGACTTAGATAGACCTACACCATGAGTAATCAGCCAAGCTGTAGAAAGCCCACATGGCATTTATAGTGGGCTATCAGGAGTATGATAGGTACCAATGTTTGCTGTCTGCCTTGGACTCCATGAAGATGGGAGTTATCTAGTAGGCCACAATATATGACTGATTGGCTAGATTTGTTCATTGTGTCATGTGCTTGGAAAGAGGCAAACACAAGCATGGAAATGACCATAATTGTTTAACCAGCCAATTCATACCAAAGTTTCTCCATATTTGTATGATATTTGTACATGTTTCAGGGGTAGGTGTTCATGTGAAGTAGTTCATAGCCCTGTTTAAGTTGGGCGATCTCTGTCTCCTACCTAGAAAGCTTATTGTGTTTGTGTATTTGGCCTCCATGCTTGATTTACCTACCATGTGTCTCTTTCTCATTTTCTTCCTGAACTATTTGTCATTGCAGCCAAGGAGCCTGGCCCAAAAAGATTATGTGTTTACCATGTCATTTCCTTCTTTCAGCTATGCAGTTGGTGTCTCAACCCACAACAGTTGATACCATATATAGGGTTATTACCCAATAAGCATTGCTTCTCCTGTGTTTAGCAAGAATGGGGTTACTTTAGAGTCATACTCCAAGGAGACATTGATTTGGTGAGCACTTGAGATATCAATGGCAGCTATGAATATACTGTTCTGAAGCCTCCCAAGCTAAGCAATTATAGTTTTATATTCCACTTAAATTGTAGCAACATTCTATGGACTCCTAGAATTTGTGGTTTAGGAAGGGATAATCAGAATTCTCATCCACTGAACTCTAATGCATCACCAACCTGCAAATACCACAGCCCCATAGGATGTTGCCATGGGAAGTTAAGGGGACGTATAGTACTATAATTATGCAGTGTGAGTGGGCACCTGTTTAAGTTGCCTTGATCACTAATCTGTGTTTGTCTCCAAATAATTCCTTTTCCCCTGTACTTCCAGCTTTATTTAAATGTCATCTGTCATTTCATGCGGGAAGAGAATAAGCAAAGGTTGTCTACTCCACTCTAACCCTCTGGGTCCAGCAGAGTGATGGTTAGGGGGTTAGGTTAGGAATTAGACAACCATTAACTCTCATGGCACTGGATTGCTTCAGAGTACAAGAAGGAGCCCATATTATTCAGTACTGCCCTATTTTGGAAGATATATTAAAACTACTACCATCTTGCAGGTGAGTTTCTGAGCCTGCTTTCATTTCTTTTTCTTTTAAAAAACAATTATCTTACAATAAATATGTCTGATAGGGATGTGGACTGTATGTCCTCAAGATGCTACTGGATTGCAACACCCATCAGCCCTTTATAGTAAAAGCTAATGGAGATGAATGATTGGAGTTGAAGTCCAGCAACATTTGGGGGATCAAATATTCCCCACTCCCTGGGTCCAGAATTGCACAACATTTTGTTGAACATCCTGTTTGCTTATATCCAAAATATAAATAAATGTTAATTGTATTCTAAGTTAAGAAGTAATGATAATACATATCATTTTTATATAGTGCTTTTTGAATATTCTAAGTTGAACTCTCGGAGAGGTCAAATGCCATGTTCATCAGAGTCCAAACACTACCAGCAGAGCATGTTTGGTTTCCATTACTGAATCACCCAGTTGCAACAAATATCCTTTAAGAATAATTTTCTATTGTGTTGCTTTGTATTATGTGATTTAATTTTACTCATATTTCTGTACTCTTGGATCACCAAGATTTTCAAAGCAAATCACTCTAACATGAAATAAAACACATTACCGTGCTCTGCTTTTGAAGTCCAATTGCATCCTCAATCCTTTTGAAGACGGTAGTGAAAGAAGCCTATCACTTTGTTTTTATTGGTGAATTAGCAAATACACCAGGAATCTTGGAAACAGAAACCATTCTCTGAAATCCCATGAAAATGTACCACATCTAGTGAAGAAGCCTTCAAAGATTAGAATAAAATAAATTTATTTTATTTTTAAATGTAGCTCTACACTGCTGATTCTCAATAACCTGCAGAGTCCACTAATGATTTTGTTTCATGAAAAGGTACAATTTGTGAGAATTGGTACTTACATCACATGAGAGTGTTACGTATGGCCACTCTTTGTGAATTATTTAAATCTCAACTACACAGATAGGCCACCTCTTTGTGCTGAATGTCACACTTCTCAGCTTGGAGTTTTTCCACAATYTCCCTATGCCGTCGCACCTGGGGGCTATAACTCTTAGTGAAAGAGACATAGATGTGACATCTTTTRCCCAGAGYATTGCTTCTTGCCTTCCTTTAAAGAACTGGAACTCCCAAGGACTAAAACACTGTAGATAACTCAAAATAGGTTTTATTYTTCATAAAGAGTGATCCCTTTAAGGCAGTAAGCTGGAAGTTTCAAAGGGGTAAAGGAAATATACATTACAGTATCTGGTTGTCTTGGGTCCAAGGAGATTTCACAGCTGAGAAGCTTTTCAAGGTTCCCTCTTTCTCAATGGCTGCAAATGCCTGAACATTCACAGCCCCAATCCAAATGGCCTATATTTGAAGACATGAAGCCTTCCTCTGGTGCCACAGGACTGGTTTGAAGGRGCTTGGGTCTCCTCAACATTGTCCAGGGTGAGTCCCAAGGGTAAAAACCTTAGAATTGGTGATGAGAGATAACTTAATTAAGGGCTTTAGAGCCAAGTCTCTTATGTCTGATAGAAGGTTTGATGGTAGAATGGAAAAGGAAAAACTCTTCCCTCCTCCAGGAAGAGGTGGAGACAAGCAATTGAGCTGAGGAAGCAATATAACTGGTGCAAACAAGATTGATTGACAGCTATAAATAACCAATCAATCCAACTATACATTTACAAACTAGGCAAGTTTGGGCATGTTATACAGTTTAAACCTTTGCACTTTAAAGTTCTACACACAGGTGGCACCACTCGCGCCATCACAGTCCCTCAGTCATGATTTAATAAGTTGAAACAAGTTGATATTATTTTCAGTGGTACTTTGTTGGAACTAGTTTGAACTAAATTAGGGCTATATGCTTTGGTGTAAGAATAAATTAATTTAAAGAAGAATCCAAGCTAAGTTCCAGCTAACTTTGAAGAAACTATCTTATGGTGCTGAATATATTATGGTGCTTACCTCAGGCCCTCCTCATTTCCCTGTCCTCTTGGCATTAGGACACAGTGGCACGCAGCAGCTGAGAGCCATGTGGAGCTCTCTCAGCCAGCGTGTGTCTCCTCCTCCTCCTCCCAGCATAAGGACAATTCGATCAGCTCCATCCTTATGCTGGGAGGACTGTTCAAGGAAGGCATGTGGTGGCTGAGAGCCCTCTGGAGCACTCTCAGCCACCTCCTGTTTTGCCTTCGTCCTTGCATAATGCCAAGAGGACAGCCTGATGATTGGGGAAGTAGGATCAGGGCAGTCACCACCTGTCCTGCCTTCCTCCCGGCATAAGGATGGGGTAAGCTTATGCTGTGAAGACAACCTGAGGATGACCCAGGCCCTGCCCCGATCTGGCCCTGCCTTTTCCCAGGCCTTACCCTTCACAGGCCCATGCCCACCCAAGCATGCAAATGGCCCTACTCCCTCCTGGCCCAGCAATTCAGCCCCAAGGCAAAAAAAAGTTTGCCCATATCTGGCCTAGAAGAACACATGGACTGGATTCTGTGATCCTCTCATATGGGAGCCAAAAGCTACCACTCTATCTCTAGAGTGTTTCGGATCCCTTCTTGAATAATGTTCAGTGCTAGGAGAAACTCCTCAAAGTGGGCTTATATCCTAAAATGAATACAAGAAAGGAAAAGGAAAAAAAATAATGGAAAGCAAATGTCATATCTTTCTTTAACCTATTTTAGGAACTACATCAGCATTCCCAAGACCTTGAGCCAGAGAAAGTTAGCCGTTTATGAAGTTTTAATTATTCTAGTCACTTGTTTACAAGATGTGCTGGATCAATATGCTGAAAGGAGATCATGCTAGCCCTGCCTCTTCTATCTCCAACTCCTTTACTCTACCATGTGAATGAAAGCAATGGAACTGGGAATGAATGACTATTCTCTTTGAGCATTGATTCAACCTGCTTTGTAAATAAGAGTTTAGAGATAGTGAGTATCCGTGAATTTATGTACAGGTTGTGTATCCTTTATCCAAAATGCTTGGGACTGGAACTGATTTGGAATTCAGACCCCCCCCCCCAATTTTGGATTACCTGTATTTGTCTATGTGTGGGGCCCAAGTCATGAATTTTAACTGGTTAACCAAATCCCCATGCTAAGTCTATGAGATGCAAAAAATTAAGAGTCCCTCCAGAAATGCAAGCACTATCTCAGGCAAATACTGACAATTTATTCYCACTGTCATTACTTGCAACAATAGCCGATGTAGTGATGCAACCAAGTTGTGGGTGTGTGTGTTGAATGTTCTCATGAAGGAGGCCAGACTTGGTGGAGGTGGTTGACAGGGGCGGAGCTGCAGGCTATGGAAAGCTGCTCTGCCCTCTGCTGTGTCTTTGCTTCAGCATGAGCTAGGAGTCAGGTTTCAACCCCCCACCCCACCTGCAAAATTTTCAACCCCCCCCCCCGAAAATTTCAACCCCTCCCGAAATTTTTTTCTGGCTACGGCCCTGATATAGCCTGAAGGTAATGTCATTTAAATACTATTAATAATTGTATGAATGAAACAAATTTATGTCCATTGAATTGTCAGAAAGCAAAGATATCATTATCTCAATCATTAATGTGGACACTTATGAATTTTGCGCTATTTTGGAATTCTGGATGAGAGATACCTAATCTGTATTACTAACATTTTTGGCAACAAGGGGTACATCTAAGCAATACAAACACATTTAGAATGAGTTCTCTCTCACACACTTTCTCTATATCACATTGGATGTGGCATCAAATGTTTCCAGTTAGGTAGAACAGAATGAGACAAAGCAACTTATGTACTGCAATAATGGACTTTTGACTAGTTTTATTTTCAGTTTTTTTTAACTATTGCTTTAGCATGCTCCTGTACAGGATTCTCTATCTCATTAGACTTCTGGAGTGACTATCATAAACAACTATGTTATTCTGCAAAATACAAAAGGTGTTTTTACAGCCACCCTTCATTATAAGCATATTTCTACACTTCCCAGAAAAGTGAATTGGACTAGAGATTGATGGAGGAAGCAGAAATCCGCATGAACTGCTCAGTGTGGGATATGGCGTTTACTAATTTTTACATGTTTCAAGATATTGTAACTCAGCTTGTCTTGACTCTTTAACAATGACAGTCTGTTGTCCTGTTATGAGAGAACTGAAGAAAACAAGGAGCTGGGAATTATGAATATTTTGCTTTTTTACCCACATTTCAGCTGAAGGGCTTGTGAACCTCATCACTACACCAATTAATGTCAAAGCTTGCTTCACTGGCAGCTGTGAACTTGTTTCTTTTCATTGCAAGGGACTTCATCATGTATTTTTAGAAGACAAAAAGGGGGGGGGGATCAAATCAGAAATGACTGTATATGAGCTTCATGCATTGTTTAGGATAGAATTTACATTTCTTTTTAGATCATTTTGAATCTAGGGCTGGGGATAGGCAATGGTTCATAAGAGCTGAAAGGGGTATGATAGGATCATTGTGATGACTTATGATGTAGACATGGATTTCTTCCATGCCATGCTTGCCTCTAGTGAAAAAGATTTGGCAGGTTTATGAAGCTCTACCAAAATAAATAAATAAAATAAAATTTTATATAGAAAAACTTGTTTAGTAGAAGCCGTCTTGGGCCATATGGGCAGCAATTACATTCCAGGTACCTTCTACAATCTGATATAACTATATCCTCTCTTAGGGCCCTTCCACAAAGCCATACAACATAGAATATCAAGAAAATCCTATAATATCTGCTTTGTACTGGGTTATCGGAGTCCACACTACCATATATTCCAGTTCAA